AGACCGAAGAACATATTCTGCTATGTGATCACCGAAGCAGGAAGTGCTGTGCTCTCAGCACTTCCTGCTTCAAAGCTATCACAGACCTGGCTAAAGTGCTGGATAAGCAGATGATACAGCACAATCCTGTGTTTGCTCTTCTGTAATGGTGGGCAGGGGAGGCATCAGCGGTCTAATGGACCCTTAGGTTCTCTTTTTGGACACATTGTCACCCGCCAATGCTATCGCATAGGAGCTTGTTAGCCCCCTTTGTGATAGCAATACAGTTAAGAAAAAATAAATAGCGTTAAGTAAAAAACGAATAAAATAAGAAAAAAAATATTAAAAGCAACCACGCAGCCCCCTACCAGGTGCATGCAAACAAATGCATGGGGCATGCATGTAGATTGCGCCACACATCACCGTGATGTGGATTTTTTCCTAAAAATATTAATTTGATAAACATTTGAGCAAATATTGTATGATATAATGAAAAATGCAGCTACCATTTTTTATTCTGCAGGGCCTCTGCTTTCAGAAAATATATCATTGGAACGTAATTTTCTATACACAAATTTAGATTTTAGCATATGTGCAAACATTAAAAAACTGTTCTGGTCCTGGTTAAACGGCTGATCATCGCAGCTAACCCATTATACAGATTATTTTGTTATTTCCTCTCCTTCACCCCAGGTTTTAAAGTAAATAGGCTCGATGTAATGGCTTCAAATTAAATGTGGTATTTAAATTGTTTGACAATTTTTACACCTGTGTAGAATGTTTTAGGTCTTTTTCCATTATATTGGCAAGAAGTTCTTTGGATCAGTGCTCGCCAACCGGTGGTCCGTGAGAAAATGTTGGTGGTTCCCGGCCCCTCTGATGCCGTGCAGGCTGGGCCATCATTGAAGCGGCACGGAGGCTCCGGGGCTGCCTAAATCATATTAGTGGTCCGCGGGATTTAAAATGATGAATTCAGTGGTCCATGAGGTCCGAAAGGCCCATATATATTTACCTCACATATATTTTTTTTAATACAGAAAATATATTTCTGAATAAATAATTCATATCTAAAATTAAATGGTTCATTTGAAACAGCACAGTGACTTCTTGACAAAACGTTTTGCCCGACACTGCACACTTTTGTATATATCACTAAAACTTGAGAGCAGGCATGCCATATAAGTGTTTTTACATACATTTGGCTACTTGGTTCTTAGTATTTCTTGGATCCCCTTGCATCTCACACAGGTAGAATTTTGTGTGACTGTTACAAAGAATTTGTTCAATTTTCCAATAGTTGATGGGGTTGAATCAACAGTTGTGATGATGAAAAGCAAAGGACGGAAAAATATTCTTAATATATTACTGTAATTTAGCACATGTGCTACGAAAAGTTTCATCCAGAAGTAGAACTTTCGTGGTTGCAAACATTTATTAGTTTAAAATATTCTACATGGTATAGAAATGTATTAAAGAAAAACGCAAACAATCCATAGACAGAGGTACTTATAAAATGTATTTATAAATGCACTTCTAAATATGCAGTCCATCATGATGTCATGTGCAATGACGGACCCAGCGAAAGACTGTTTCACGAAGGAACGTTCACTAAAGATAGTAGTACAAGTGGCTAATAAGCCCATTAATAAACATTACATTACATCACTTTATTGCATACCAAAATCGAACGGTAAAATTTGAAACATTGCTATGGCAATCAAACAAGATTTTTCGGGACTGCTGCTATTAGCGAATGAACAATCTTGCTGAAATTCCATACGAAAATTCAAACAAAAATCTATCTGTGTATGGCCAGCTTGTAGGGATGCAGAAAGGAGTCACAACAGACATGGTGGCATTGTCAAACCCAACTGTAAAGTAAACTGGCCATAATTATCATCTTTTTATTATTAGGAGAAATTTGATCATGTTAAAAAGGCTACATTTTTCTGTGCTTTTTCCTGCAATTTTTTAAAGAGCAGCATGATTTCTAACTACAGCCCTGGCATTACCCCAGGAAACCTAAGCAGTTTCAGCAATGTCTGGACCTTCTGGGAAAGTTAGCAGTTAGAAGTATGATAAAGAATAGTGATTAGGAGATAGCATCTCCTTGAGAAAGTTTTCATCTACTGACTCACACAATAGGCATTCACAGCAAAATCAAATAAGACCTGAAAGAAACAACCTTGGAATTCTGACATGCGGGTGTGTTCAGACTTACACCATTTATCGAACTCTTGGGAAGCCAATTTACTTACAAGGGTGGTTGGACATGTAGATACAATGTGCTACTTAATAAATATGTATGCCTGCGCATGCACATTTTATGGCAATGTATTGCAATGTACTTTACATTAGCGCACACTTCTTGGAACTACAGCATTATATCAGGGAAGAATGGTGGTCTGAAGTCTACAATGACTCTCTGTTTTCAGTACAATTACTATTTGGTATCAACATTCCTCAAGCCTTCAAGGCAAGTCAAGAGATAAAGAGATCTGAGATTAAATTGGATACCAAACAAAGACTGGGCACCAGAAGGACCTGTTTGGATGGACTCTGCTCTTAGTAAATGCAGGTCTGTGGTGTGTCAATGGTTAATCAGGATCAATGTCTTATCTCAGCTTTATCTGAGCTATTCCAACAATGAACTGATCATGATAGAAGTTGAAAAGGGTTATCAATAAGTCATTGGACTAAGATTTATTTTAAAAGCACCATAATTCTGTAAAGTGTCCCTGTCTGGACAAAAAGAGATTACACCCATGTTGGATGCTTAAGGCAATGTACAGGTTTTTTTTTGGAAGCCGGATGGGGAGGGGGGGGGGTTCTGCAATAGGTGACATTTTCTCTGTTTGATGTGTGTTCTGTGATTTGCTGTCTTATCTGCTGGTGGCTAGGAATAAAGGTTGAGGCATGACTAAAGTCTTTCCTGAACTCTGTGCATGCTGAATACAATACATTTGGAAGAGAGACACATGCTAGACATGGCATGAATTGTGTTTCTTGCCAAATGCACTTCATGAAACGTATGTTCTGTTTCTTGTTAAATGCACTGCAACCAATCTTCTGGTGCCTGTAGGTGCCCCTAGCCTGTGTTCAGTTCAAACTAGTAGTCACTAAAGCTGACCATACACTGAGCGAATTTCGTCCAGTTCTTGATGGACCAGCCAAAATTCACTCCATGAGTGACCCTGTTGTCAGCCTTCCTACCTGTTTAGTATAGATGGAGGAATCTGTTAGATGTTTTTTATTCAGCGTGCAGGCTGAAGGAAAAAAAACACTGTATTGCCATCTTTAGCTGGCTCAAACTTCACTATCCCTGACTGAGGGCCTGTTCACACCTGTCCAGGCTGCACTGGGCTTTTTTTCCAGTGCCGCCTGAATGCAAGACAACGCAATTTGTCTTGTCACGGGTGGGCACAGTTAATACCACCACCATTAGAATTGTAGTTGAATAGTGTCGGTCCAGGACAGGAAACCATATCATAATGAGGGAAACAGCAGGATCAACAGGTAAATTAGTTACAGCACAGTAACTAGGAGTAAAAAAAAAAAAAAAGATGTGCACATTGTAAATGGACATGTTTTATAGGAACCTTGCCTAATATAGTTTACCTGTTTTGCCTGGAGAGAAACTTTAACTTTAAATGTAGATAGGCTATACATGAGGGAGAACTGTTAAACAAGGAACTAAAGAGATTAAACAAACCAGTTTTAATGTAATGCTGGTACTCTGATAAATAGACTAAAAAGACAGTTTAGACAAGATCAATGCACTACTACTGTGTTTTTATTATTAGTCAATACTTTTATTCCTGCATTAAAAACATTTACGCAAAATAGAAAAAAGCATATCAATTTAATATTGAGTATATAAGCCTGTAACCATCACATAAATCGAATGTTGATTCTTCTCAATAATTTTTACATTTGTATGTATGAGATCAAATTGATGTATGTAACGTTATCAGTGTGTGTAATCATTTTTTTACAAAAAACAACATGTAATTTGTAATTATGTTTGAAGATGGGGGCAGCTATATTTGCTCTTTACATATGTAAGCTGTGCTTTTTGCTATGCAGTGCTACACAATGGTTTCTACACAATAATTGCTTTTCCTTCTGATAATGCAAATCTGTAAATCATGCAACTGCTTCATGACCAATTAACTCCCTGTAGCAGATATACTGTATTTTCTTAACAGTTTTGGTGGAGATGTAAACGTAAATAATCTACTCTGCCTCTAGTGGTTAATTTACAAATCACCATGTGTTTGAAAATAACAAGAAAAAGTAAAGGGAAGCACAACTCAAAATATGTGCTACTCACTATACTTTCCCTATAAAAAGCTACCTTTACATATTGCCAGCCCAGAAGTGTCCAAAAAGCCCCCTCTTGAATATATTTAGAAAAAAGGGTGGTGTAGACATGCACAATTTCTCTATAGCTAGGACAGTTCTGTGGCCCATGTGCAGTAAAGAGTGATTGTTCTCTTCTCCACCAGGAAAAGAGGCTCACTTATCTGTTCCACAGTTTCTAACTTTCTAAATCTCTCAAGCACATAAGAAGCTAATTTATTGTAATTACTAGTTTATCCCTATGCTGTCCAGATATTGCCCTAGGCATGGGTGGTGTAAACCTGTATACTAAGTTTGTGTCTTCATTGTATAAGCTTTTTATACTCTTCTGTACAACTTGACCTGTTTAACCAGTTTGGTTCAAAAGTGGTTTTCCTAAGATCATGTCTCCAAATTCAAGCCTTCCAGATGATCACAATTTTGTAGTCATTGATATGTTTATTCTGTGTTAGACACGGTTTCTTACATGTTGACACAGAACATACATAAGCCACAGCCGTGCCACCGTGGCTACACGCAAGTAGACGCCTACTTTATATAGTTATCAAATTGTATAATGTAGGAAAAAAATACTTTTCCTTCCCAATCCTTTGTTTGTATAACTTGAGAACTTTTGTAATCTTTTGGAAAGAGTATGAAAAACTATTCTTCTTTTGCAGCTATAAGAGAAGATGGAATGCCAGGTGGAAGAAATAAAAGCATTGGTCCTGTACAGGTAAGGCATTGGGCAATGCCAGGGATCTATAAAATTAATGTACCTTAGAGCAGTCTGTGGGTTTTGGTCAGTATCATGTATGATTTTCTGATGGCCCTCAACCTCACTTCATGTGCATAATTGCAATTTAGCATGTATTCAGCCACCATATGTATCTACCTTCTGCATAGAACTCATTGTCAAGCTGGGCAGGCCACAGTACTAGATAGCTGGAATGCAGAACAGGAGTTGGAGCTTACGTTCAGATACTACAGCATCATAGACGTATAATAAGAGGATATCAACAGAAGGTCATACATGGCAAAACTATTTGTTATTGACTGCTAGTAGCATTACCCGATTAGGGTGATTCAGTATAAAACATAAAAGCATTGTTTAGTCATTAATAAATAAATACCCACTGATCATGAAAATTTGAAAAAAAATTGGTTGTGGAATGCACGGGTGGGGTATACCTATTGTCTGTGCTGGTACGCAGTAGACCCCAGGAATTCAACCAATTTAGCACTGATTATGCAGGTTTTCTGCTGAATAGTTCTCACTTATTTTGGTATTATTTCTGTAGTGAAGAAAAACAATTTTTTTGAAAGATACTTGGCTTTATTTAATAAACAGTCTGGGGGCAGACCTAAATGTAGGGGTGGTAATCCCTAACAACCAGAGTTTGCGTTGCTGAGATGGACCTTGATTGGATGCTATGGTTACTGCCCTTAGCTCTTTGCTTCTTGCACTATGTTATTCAACAAGCAGAATGTATGGAGGAAGGACCCAAACACTGGGCCATCCCAGAGGCCCATTGCTTTCTTTGTCCCCCGCTGATGTGTACATTATTCTTTTCCTTAGATATTCTGTTTTCTCAAACTATATATGATTCATATGATATAGATCATTAATTGGTTGAGTTAATATAGGAACAATGGAAGGAAACACAACTCTTTTGTGACGAAGAGTAAGTGGTATATAGACCTGCCTTTACTAAGAGCAGAGCCCATTGTATATGAATTATTTTGGTGGTCCAAATAAATCATCTGCTTATGAAGCACATGGTGTCCTTTTTATCTTTGTAGGAATGTCATTTCTTTGCACTTATTAATACTGTGTATGCCATTATCCGCAATGAAAAATTATAAATAAGTGCAGTTCTCTGTGGATCTTTATTATTACAAAAATTGCAGCGTCAGAAGTGGCACTTCTTGATCTCCAGTTAAAAAAATATATATACTGGCAGTTTTGCTTTTGAACTCTCTAAAACAGTAAATTTAGCTGTTTTCAAGCACAGTGATTGCTTCATTTGTTTCATATCTATAATATCATATCTATACACTAAAGCAGTGTCTTTACAATGCACAGAAAATAAAAATATACTGATATGGGTTACATGAAGGTGAAAATCACATTTTGTATAAAAGCGTTACCAAGCATTGCTTGTAGCAAATTTTTAATTTTTTTGTATTTAACAAAGAGGATGGGGTAAGGTGAAGCATCTAAATATGACCTTTTACCACCACGCTGAATACACAATTAAAATACTTACAAGCGCTCTCCTGCAAACCTGTGCTTGAGATTCGCGTAACATTGCACAGCCACAATTTTATTGCAGATTTGCAGCTTTCTGCTCATTGGCCCGTGTAGGAGTATCATTGAACTTCTAGGGTCTTCCTACTGTACCTTCTGTAAGCTGCTTAAATGTTCTGAAACTGCTGGCAGCATGATATTATTCTATCATTCATGATATTATTCTATCATGAATGCTGCCGCCAGACTCCTCCACCTTACCAACTGTTCAGTGTCTGCCGCCCCTCTGCCAATCCCTCCACTGGCTCCTATTGCCCAACGAATAAAATTCAAAATACTAACAATAACATACAAAGCCATCTACAACTCCGCCCCAACCTACATCACTTACCTCATCTCAAAATATCACCCAAACCGTCCTCTCCGCTCAAGACCTCCTGCTCTCTAATTACCTCCTCCTACGCTCGCCTCCAGGACTTCTCCAGAGTGTCCCCCATCCTCTGGAACTCTTTACCCCATTCTGTCCACCTTTAGGCGATCCTTAAAAACCCATCTCTTCAGGGAAGCCTATCTCATCTCAACATAACTGCCTTTTACTTCCTCCAATAACTCAGTCCAAACAATTATTACCTTTTGTATCACTTGCCCCTCCTACTAAAATTTACTCTCCCTGCTGCCCCAAGGCCAGGTTCCTCAATGCGCACCCCCCCCTCTACCCCCAAGGAGAATAGCAACCGGATGGTGTGGGCCACAGGGTTAGTTTCAATTTTGTAATATTGGTTCTTTTTACTTTTTATTACTTTTTTCTTTTTATTTATTTTTTTTTAACTTTTTTAAATTTTTATTTATCTTATCTTTTCCTTTTTTAAATTTTTAATATTTTTGTAGAATTTTTTGTTATTTTTTACTTTTTAATCACCTTTTTATTTTTAAATTAAGTTGTTATTTTTTACTTGTTTTTTTAAAATTTTTGTTTATCATTTTTTTTTTCTTTATTACTGTCACACAGGAGCTAACAAGCATTTGGAGGTGACAGGTTCTCTTTATTGAACCTGGCAGCCCTCCGGACCTGCAGACTGCATACAAAGGATCTCGACATCATCACCGAGATCACTTGTAAACAAACAAGCTGCTTCCCCGCTCCACATTTAGCCCTGCTTGCCCAAAGCAGGGCTAAATGTAGAAAACAACTTGGCGCCTGGAACTGAAGTCCTGCGCGTCTGGAGATTCCACACCCTGCCCGCCCCTCTGCTCCCTGTCGCCCCGAGGCCAGGCCTCGGTGGCCTTGTAGCAAATCTGGCACTGGTCACATATTATAAAGAAACTGTCATATCCTTTGACAGTGTGTGCTGTGGCCTGCAGCACTTATCTCTACATTGATTATAGAGAACAAAGGAATATTGCCTGAAAATGTTCCACCTGTAAGTATTATATGCATTCCATTTTCAAATGAGCTAAACATGTTGTTACTTTTATCTTTATCATATTTTGTTATATTTCTTTTTAAAGAATGTTAAGTAACCTAATTGTTCTTACTAGATTTCCGATGAGGAGATTGAAAGGATTATGTCTGGTCAAGAATTTGAAGAAGAAGCCAACACTTCATGGAGTAACAATGGAGATAGTGACCATAGTTCTCCAGGCAATGTAGTGTCTGAAAGTAACCAGCCTTCTCCAGTGTCCACACCTTCCTCCAGGTTGATGCACTATTTTTTAAGACTCCCTGAAAAACAAAACCATTATTACATTCTATTTAAATAACCTCAGTGCTGACATTAAGTATCTTCTTTTTCAGTAGATCAGTGGAACTAAATGGATTCAGTTCTCTTCGGGATCAGTATTTGGGCACTCCTGCACCAACGCACTATCAATACCTACCTCACCTTTTTAGCTGCTCTACTCATTCTGCTATAATCCCATCCCAAACCCGGAGTCTGGACCCTCAGTCACACACCCTCATTAACCAGCTACTAGCTGCAGAAGACATGGAGCCACTTAATACCCCTATGCTAATTGAAGATGGGTAAGTGGGCTAAATTTTTTTTTTTAACCAAAGAAAATCATATTTTTAATCAAAATCATTGTGCATTCCTCCATCTCTAGTGAGTAGGGGAGAGCAAATGTGCTTGGGTTTGGTTTGCAGACCCATTAGTTAAACCAATTGTAAATCTTTAAAAATTGAATGTTTGTATACATCAGCATCTGGAGGTGCCTGCTATGTGCTAGCAGTGCTGGATTAGATGTTTTTCTCCAATTCAGGTTCACTTTTAAAAAGAGCTCTCTAAACATTATCTGTGCCTAATTGCCAATAACTGTCAAGCCAGACTGCACAGTTGCTTTTTTTTTAATCTCCCACATATCTGCCATTTCTGCCAACCTTCTGAAGGTGCTAGTTACTTCGATTTTGTTGGTTTTAGTACTTTAAGTGAATTCATCAGCATTTAAAAGAGCTTCCAAACCTTCTGACTTTAATATCACTTGAAGGGGTAATGAGTAGATTTAAAGCATAATATTATCGCTTCTGGAGTGGGGTGGAGTTCTTGCCAGCTGCGCATTGTGGCACATACATTACGCCCTACAGTGCCCTCCTTCAGCGATATGATGTCTGTGATCTGCCTCATCTCTCAGCTCCCACCACTGACATTTTCTGCTACTTGTCTGGGTGTGGCATCTGCCATTGGGCAGCAAGTGGTGATGTAATGCAAGGTCGCAGGAGACGCATGCCCCCCCGCAACCCCAGCTGCATTCCTGAAAAATTACTTGGAAATGTACAGTGCCCTTTGCACATGCAGTGTACACAAAATAAAGGATTTGTTGCATTTCTTCTACCAAAAAAACTCTACCTCCTAGCAGTGTTTTATCTTCAGACTTTAGTCCCACTTTAAAGTGTATCTAAGCCCAAAAACAAAAATGTAGTGTATTGCAGCTTATCAGTCCTTAGATGCATTAGTTTTATCTTCGGTCCCGTCCCCCCCATTATTTTCACCGGGTAAGCCTACATATAACACACTACCTGCCCCTGAGTGGCTATGCTTACTCTTCCACTGGTGTGTATGGAGGAAGCCATGGTTGCCTCCCAGGCTGGACTTAAAACATGATTGCATTTATATACAAAAATTGGTCCTGCTGAACTAAAAAATATTTTTTGTTAGTTTTGTGTATTGGGTGTTTGTTTTGAATGGGGAAGCAACTTAGTTCTTAAGTAACGAGGTAATGGTATATTATTTTTCTTGCTGTCCATAACATGTGGTTTAGTAGTACCTATCAGTGCTTGTGATTTAATTGCAAAATGGCTTATTTTGCTTTACCCTATTGTTATTGTATTTCTCTTTCAAAAAACGTAATATTTAATATAAAGAAAAAATAACATGACTGCCTCTGTTCATCTCCATTATATGGGGGTGAATGGAGTTAGAAGTTTAGACAATTTTGCTTCCGTTCATTTAACAGGAAGCAACAAGGTATTTTCTGTTCTTGATAAAAAAAATGTTCTTATTCTAGAAAATTAATGCAGTCATCATATCTAAGGACTCGTGGACTGGAATAGATTGCATTTTTGTTTTCGGGTTTGGACATAGCTTGATTACATTTCAAAACGTAATGTTCAAAATTAATTACTTTTCTGTAGGGATGCACCAATACCATTTTTTTCCATATTGATTTCCCAGTACTGATATTTTTTTTTTCCGGTACTCGCCGAATACTGATACTGGTGCAATGTGCCCAGATTATCAGGAAGACAGGTGGCGGGTCATGGTCCTGATTCCCTGAGATGCCGGAGTTCTATCAAAAGAACACCGGCTTCCCTTCCCGTGGCTGCCTGGCGGCCAATCATGAAGCCAGGTGGCGGGTTATGAGGTGCTGCCTGGCTTCCTGATTGTTTAGGAAGCCAGGCTGCCTAGCAACAAATAAAGCTGGCTTCCTAGCCAATCAGGAAGCCAGGAGGCGGGTCATAACCTGGCTTCCTGATTGGAAAGGAAGCCGGCTCCATGCTCCCTTGGCACTGCCGGTCAGAGGGAGATCCCTCTCTGACCAGAAGTTCCAGTATCAGAGGTAAGTATCGAACCGAACCGAATACTCTAATATCAGCACCGATACTAGTATTGGTATCGGTGCATCCCTACTTTTCTGTTGTCTATTTTAACTGCGGAGATTAAATAAAAAGGACATAAACACTATATTATTTATTGACCACAAATTTACTTCAGGGATTTGCTCCCTGCTACGTTTACTTACATTTAAATATGGACATTAAAACTATAACAAAGCTTTGTCTTTATGATGATAGTAATACAAAACAGTATAATATTAAAGCAAGGTGGTTTAGCTCCAGAACAACAATCTCAAGCAACATTGTAAGATTTATGTACTCTTGCATTGTAGCTAAACTAGAAGGATAACTAATTGCACTTCATTCATCAAGGTAATGGACTTATTATGCATGCACATTATCTATGTTGTTGACAATATAATTCATATCTATTTGCTACTTGTAACATTATATTTTCTTATGTTGTTTTTTTGCCTTTGGACTGTAAAAGCTCTCAAGTACATTGTATTTATTATTAATTTTGATTATAAAAACTTAAAACAGTTTTTCAAGCACATTGGATGTAATACAATTCCTCCACATGGTGGCACTGATGGAAGCATTTACATAATATTGTGTCAGTTTCTCATTCATTTCAATATTGCTATGTATTTTGGGAAGCTGGGCTTTGGTTTCTTAATGCTTTAGGGCCCATTGCTTTTGTGATTGAAAATCAGGCACAATTCCAATTAATTTGGGACAGATGTTTGTGATGACTTCTGTCATTTAAAAGATCCCATAGGAATGATGGCTAAAGAAACACGTTATACCAGTTATATAAGTCAGAAAGCAAAAAACTATTTCTGTGGTTCAATTGGTTAAGTACCAACTATAGTGCAACATCCAGTGCTGTTACTAAGGTGCATGGTGGGATGCCACAAGGTCAACCTGCTATACTGCTCAGTAGGCACAACAGGAGACAAGCTGTCTCAAGACTGGTTTATGAGGCAATTGAAGACAAGTTAACCTGGCCATACTGTTTTGCTGAATAAAAAAGTATAACAGATATCTCCATCCACGCTAAATAGGTTGGATGAAACAATCTTCCTCTGTGTCCTTTGTATTCTGACAGTGGCAGGTAGATGATTGGCTGCTGAGGTGGAAGGGTACCAACTGGGGCTCCCACTGTGCTAATTTCGTCCGGTTCAATGGTGTACGGCCAGCTTAATCTAATCCTTTTTAAGAACACTATTAAAAGGTATAAGCAGAATGTCTACCCATACACAGGTTTTGAGAGAACCCACAAAGCAGATGGGGGTACTTATGTTAAGATGCTCACTATCTTGCTGGGTAACTGCAAAAAATTAAATGCACTACTATTTCAGCAATCACTTCAATTCCCTTTAACCAAAACTTAAAAAGGATGTTTTTAAAGCTCGCCTTGTAGACTTGTATTGTAAAATATATTAAATGTTATTCTGCATTCACTCTTATAGAAAATGATCTTAAGTAAATAAATAATAGTACACACACGTGCCTGCTTAAGTAAATGTAAACGCATCAGACAAGAAGACGTTCATTTAATGAGATGTCATTTTGTTCATGCATATTTCCGGTCTGCTTGCTTAAATGTACTAAGAATGAATGTGTGATGTCTTCTGCTGGTGAAATTTGATTTGCAATAGAAGTATGAACATATAAAAAGAAGTGGGGCTTCATATGCACCATTGTTTGAATAGTCATACCTGTGTCTGCTGACTACGTTACACAGCAAAGCATGTGGCTATTGAAAGTGGGGCCTCTTATATATTACTTCACAGAGCGGCTGGATATTACAGTTTGCTGTTAAACGGTGACATTTTTTATAACCGCCTTAAAAGCAGAAAGCACTTAAAAGGCACAAGGGCTAACGTGTTTAGTGGGCAAGACATCGAGGCTAATGAAACAATTGTTTATATAATGCACATCTTTACATTAGATTAATTGTTATGCCTTTGTATGTCATTGTGAATTTAGCTGTTTATCTTTACACATCTTTTTCTTTCTCCTATACAGGTACAAGGTAACACAGTCTGAGCTATTTGCTCTTTTGTGTCGGCTGGCAGACGAGCTCTTGTTTCGCCAGATTGCATGGGTGAAGAAGCTGCCATTTTTTTGTGACCTTTCTATAAAAGATTACACATGCCTATTGAGTACGACGTGGCAAGAGTTAATACTTCTGTCTTCACTGATCACATACAGCAAGCAGGTCTTCGGGGATCTTGCCGACGTCACCTCTAAATACTCACCTTCTGAAGCAGAGCTTCATAGGTTAGTTACCAAAGGATATCACTGTTAACTGTGCCTCCTAGTTTAAATTTTGTGGCAAGGCAAAAAAAACCCCACATGTTAATACATCTCTGCAATGCATGCACATTTCCCCAGGTTTTGTTCCTTTAAACATGCTGCAAGTACAGAAAAAAAACTGTTGATGTGCCAGAAATATAGTGTGCTCCTCCTCTTTGGCATGACAACAGTATGTATTTTTAGCTTTAAATTCCTAAGCACATGGTGTCAGCCCTGCTAACTTCATCTCTGATGGGTTACAAAGAACAATGTCTCATCTCCCCCTCTCCTCTTCTCCATATCTATGCTGTGTGGTAGGGATGTAAATCTCAGGGCTAGATGAACAGAAATAATAATTCGTTGGCAGCTTAAGCAGCTGTCATATATGTAATTTATCTATGTGCTGTATTTAACTGTTTTCCTGGACTTTAAACAAAGGTGTGTGACATCCAAAACTCTTGACTACAGTGCTGGAGCCCGATGTTTGACTGCCCCTTGGGGCCATTAGAATACAGGAAGGGAGGGTCTGTGATGTGCCTGCTTAGTAAACAATGTTAATCTCCACATAGACCCTGGATCCCAGCCTCAGTTAATGGGCACGTGTGTATGAGGGGCACCAATGTCGCCGGTTCTCCTGATATACACTAGCTTTTCTGTTGCAAGTGGTGTAATCCTTATTTTGTATATAGCTGCCAAAGAATTTAAAGCTTTTTAAGTGACAAAAAAGTGAGGAGTTAATTTATTTCTAAATTACTTATTTCATTACTTTTTTCCAAATGCTTCTGACACTATGCTTTAACGTGACACTAAACTCAGAAGTTAAATCTTAAAAATGCATTCAAGTACCCTAACTATTAACAAAAATGTAGCTTATTTGTATATCACTCGGCTGTAGGATCTACAGCCGAGTGATATATCAAATCATCTCTGAATTGGTGCCGACACTGTCCTTTTTTTCTGGAGGGTGACTACTTTTGTTCTAGATGATTTGAGGATCTACATGAGTGATACACAAATAAGATACATTTTTGTTAATAGTTAAGGTACAATTCATTTCTATGATTTAACTCCTAAGTTAATGTTGCAGCATAGTGACAGAAGCATTTAGAAATAAGTAATGGCAATCATCAAGCCGTGCATATTATAAAAAAGGGATAATTGACAGCTGTCCTTGTCTAGTGCACAAAATCATTTGGGTAATTGTTACTCTTTATAAAAGGTGCATTATTCATCAAGGTTTTTGCACTTATTTTAGGTCACTGTGACTGTCAGTAGCACAAATGAATGTCCTTACAGGCTTACCATATAAATATAATCCACTGTTTGACATTGCCACATGGCTGGTGGATATTGTTTAATGGAAGTCTGATTAAAGTACAAGCTTATAGTGAAAAGATGTTGTTATACCTTAATTTACAATATTTAACAGAATACATAGGATAGCAGATGCTCCAAAAACAGCCACACTAGTTTGCCCTTGATGTTACCTCAACCATACTCCTAAAGTTCAGCTATCACTTTTATGTAATATGACTTTACTACAGTGATCTTTGACCATTATTGCATAAATTAACAGAAATGAGCAAGGGTTTTTTTGTATTACAAGTACCAGCCTGTCACTAAATCTACTCTTATCTGTTTTTCTGGGTATGTAATATGGAAATTGATTTATGATGTGTGTTTTTCATAATCAGCCTCTTATCAGGCGCCAGATTACACTGTGATTTAAGGTTGGTTTTGTGTTCACGCACAGCTGCACCAGCCTCTAGCCAGCTCCAGAAAGCCACTAACAAGCTTGCATGCCTGGTAGTTATCTGAAGCTCGTTATTTAAGGCTCCTATTCTACTCCTCCATCTCATAATTCCTGGGAAACACCTTCATTGCTTGGTGGCATCACGTAAGAGGCAAGAAAATTCTTACTCAAGGAGAGATTTGCTCTTCTGTGAACTCACTCTTTTAAAAAAATAGTTATCTAATGCTGTGATTTGTTGATTCCAGTCATCTATGTGCTCAGAGCGAGAATGAAGAAAGGAAATGGTATTTACAGGAAATGCAGAAAAGAAACACTGCGCTAAAGGGAAAGTTCACCTTTTCACCCCAAAAAACAGAGAAATTCTCCATATACTTTTGTATTCTGTTACATGTTAACTTTATTTTTAAAGTTTTTTTATTATTATTCGTTTTCCATAGAGTAGGGAAAACTACAACCCCCATCAGTTTATTTTTTGCTGTCTGTGTCCTGTTAGGAAGACTCCCTTCACTTCCTGCCCCGGAGACGCAATAAATAGGGATAGTAAATCTCTACAAAGTAAGGGGGATTCCTCTCCTCAAAAGCTATCAACAGAACAGGTGACCTCGTTTGTCAATTTTCCTCACCTCTTGTTTGGTGACAATTGCAAAATTGTGGATTTCCCTTTTACTTTTTCTCAGTGATAAAGATCACCAGGACAAATAGAGAGAATGAATCTACCTAGCAGGGACACATACCACAATAAAAACATAAAAAAAACTATATATATATTTATATAAATATAATTGTGGATTTCCCTTTTACTTTTTCTCAGTGATAAAGATCACCAGGACAAATAGAGAGAATGAATCTACCTAGCAGGGACACATACCACAATAAAAACATAAAAAAAACTATATATATATTTATATAAATATATATATATATTTATA